ACATGATCTTGGAGGCTTCTACGGACAGCTTAGAAATGGAGATGAGCACCAACCCCCAGAGTCTGACATGACTGGACTTAATATCGGGAGGAAATCTTTATCTTTTAGTCATTGTTTGGTTTTGGATGTTATGAATGGTCCCATTAGAAAATGAATAAGGCTGTGGGTAAATTACAACTACCATCATTTGTCATTAACGACAAACCACATTAATATAAAGTTGGTCATGTTGGGTATGAGTGCAAGTTTGGTCCAGATCCATTGTCAGTGAGGGTCATGGGGCTCTCTAGAATTATTTTCCACATACATGCATATATAAATACATATATACGGATAGATAGATAGATAGATAGATAGATAACCCAGACACCTTTGAAATCTCCTCTAAGCAAATCCATGAACAAAACAAGAATCTGGACTTCTATTGTTGGCTTTTTGAGAATAATGTTTATTACATTTTCCAATAATGCAGATAAACACACAGACCATAATAAAATAAGTAGAATAAAAAGAAGAGGGAAAAAAACATCAAAATATCTCTACATCATCTCGACCATCTTCCCGCTCTGAGTCTCCTTTGGGCTGAAATGAGCGGGGTAGAAATAATGCAAATAAATAAATAAATTCCCACTGTCTGTTTTAGGTCTACCATCTAAAACAGACAGACAAACCACCACAGAACAATGGCTTCAAACTACAAGAAAGGAGATTCCATCTGAACATTAGGAAGAATTTCAGCAGTGGAACTCTCTGCCCCGGAGTGTGGTAGAGGCTCCTTCTTTGGAAGCTTTTAAACAGAGGAAGGATGGCCATCTGCCAGGGGTGCTTTGAATGCAATTTTCCTGCTTCTTGGCAGGGGGTTGGACTGGATAGCCCATGAGGTCTCTTCTAACTCTATGATTCTATGATCTTTTTAAAAACACAATCAAAATCACAACAACTGGTTTCCAATCTCCTCAAGCAAAAGCAACAACCATTCTGTTGTGCTAGTCTTTTTGCTACTACTAGGCTTGGTTGATTTTTTTTAAAAAAAAGGTTTAAAGCTTGTTTTGGATGGTGGGGGTTCTGGTGGTTTGATTCCAAAGTCACTTCCAAATTTTTGAAAAGAAAATTGAAACTTTCCAAAACTTCAGAAACTTCCAAATCGATTTGTTAATGTGGGTGCACATATGCAGAAAGGAGAAACAGCACTGGGAAAACTTCAGGGGATTCTCCCGCCCTCATTTTTAGACCAATCCTGATGAAACTTGCTACAGTGGTAGAACACATGGACCACTGGTAGCTCACCGAATTTCATAATCTTTGACTTATCCATGAATTTTCGGCAAATTTTCAAAACTTTTCATAAAAAACATTTTTAATAATAAAGAAAATCTGTTCCTGGTTTAAAGGTGTTGTTTCCTGTTTCATTGTGTGGTCTTTACTTTGAAAGTAGTTGTTCTACTCCAGAAACGTTGTTTGTGTGGCACAAACTGTGTTAAATTGGTGGATAACAGAAATCATAGTACAGACCCCATCAAGGGACATATAGACTGACCCCCTTCTTCTGGGCAGAAAGGCACCATCCAAACTCTCCTGACATCAGTTTGCTTCCTCTACTGAGTTGGAGGGGACCCTCAAGACACATCCATCCGTTTATTCCTTTTTACAGATGCAATCAATTGTTTTATTTTATAATTACTTACTGACTGTAAAGGGCTGGCTGGCTGTCTACCCCAGTGCCTTGTTCATAGCAATCAGACAAAATTAGAAATATTGGGTTTTTAAGCAGTTTATGTTCTCTTGGCTTTGCAAAAGTTGCTTATTGCTTTGCTGCCTTCTTTAGAACTCTGTAGATTCAGCTTATTTTATATTTAGACAAACACTGCTACAAATAGCTATTTTTAGGGTACTTCAGCCATTTTGGCTAATGAGCAGGCGTGCATTGTGGGAAATTTAGTTTAATAGCAGGGCCTTTGGAGACCTGGTCTTCACAAACTACAGTTAAAGATGGTTGTGATTAGGCACACCCACCGCTTCCCTTTTTGCACCGCTGGTGGAAAGAATGAGATTTAAAAAATTCCCTTGCCTTTACCAAAGTTGCTTAATGGTTGTGAAAATTAAAATAACCTTGGGAGACATCCAAACATTATAGGATATTTCCACTGGGGGAAAGGTAAGCGTTTAAAATTCGGATCCACCACCACCACCTTTCTTGCATGCAGGGCCGGCCCTAGGTAATTTTCAATGGTAAGCAAACATTATTTTGGCGCCCCCTCCCCCTAACCAATCACTGAAAAATAAAACGTAGAAGGTAGAGGTGAATAAAAGAGTTACCTTACAAACCAGAAATTTACTTACAACATTATGTTTATATAGTTACATTACACAAATTAACTTTTTTAAGAATGCAAATATTTTACTAAACTTAGCAACAATTTTAAGTTTTTGTTGTTATTTTTGGTCTACAAGTACTACACAAAGGTTTCCTGGTCATGCTGTCTCTTCAGAGAAGATTTTTCAGACTAGGGGTTTGCTAATAACAGAGAACTCAATCCCATGCTTGTTGGGTCTGTCAATCAGATTTGTTTTGGAGAACGCAGCCCCAGGAGAATAGACACCTCCTTTTTAAGAAAGTGAACTCTTGTCCTTCAAAAGTGCCATGCCAGCCTGGACCATTACAATGGGTGTGGCAACGTAGTCAGCCTCTGGCCCCTTCACTTTAGTGGATACTTTAACATCCAGTTTTCCTTAACACAAATAAACTTGAACACTTTTAAAATTAAAAAGAGATTTTTCTGGCTTTCAATTTTGAAAACTCGTGTACTATTATATCTGTTTCCATTTCATCCAACAAGCCATTTTCAATGGCCAAGGTTGCTAGTCCACTCAAGCGCTCTTGACTCAAAGTTGATCTTAAATACGTTTTTATAAGTTTTCTAAGATCTACAGAGACCCTCGCTGGAACACCTCAGCAAGCGAGAGTCCAAAAGTGGCAGGCTCAAACCCAGCACCTCAGCCCATGGCTGATACCAAAGATGAGAGACTCCCCCCTGGGCACACAGAGGACTGGGCGACTTGGAAATGGAAAGGAATCACACAGGATCATATTTTTGCAGTCCATTAAGTGTGTTGATGATAAATCAGATAAAGGAATACTGGGGAAATTAATATAAAGTATAAAGTGCGTATAAAGGGACATTACATTTGGTAATCTAATGCAGGCTTTAAAAGGTTTTAAAGATCAAGTCAGGGTCTGCTGCAGTTTTTAGTTTTGGATATGTTTTTTATGGATTTTAACTGAATTTTTAAAATACCAATGATATTTAATTCCATTTTAATGTTTGCATATTTGTGGATTTTAGACTGTACTGAAATGTTTTTAATCTAAGCCAACTTGAGTCTTCTTGGGGAGAGAAAAAGCAGGGTATAAATAAACATAATAATGTGTTGTGGAAGGCTTTCATGGCCAGAATCACTGAGTTGCTGTGAGTTTTCTGGGCTGTATGCCATGTTCCAGAAGCATTCTCTCCTGACATTTTCCCCACATCTATGGCAGGCAACCTCAGAGGAACAAAATCTGGCTACCAGTACCCTCTAAAATAACCCTCTAAAATCAGAACAATAAATAAAGAGCAACACTAAAAAAGGGGGGAATTCCTGACATGAAGCAATCAGGGCCAGTTAACCGCTCCCAACAAAGGATTCCTGGGCAGCAACTAGCTCGGCTTCGAAGCTGCAAGGCCATTAAATACTCATCAAGATGACCAATTGCAACATTCACACTTACCTCAAGCAGACATGAGTTCTTTTTCCCACCCTGGACATTCCACAGATATACAAACCCCACTTGCCTAGTTACAAACAGACCTCACAGCCTCTTGAGGATGCCTGCCATAGATGTGGGTGAAACATCAGGTGAGAATGCTTCACCAAGCCAAAGAGCATTCTGAACTCCACCAATAATAGAATTGAACCAAACTTGGCATACAGGACTTCCATGACTAACAGAAAATACTGGAGAGGGGGTTGGGAAAAATAGACCCTGACATTTGGGAATTGCAGTTTACCAAGCACCAAAGAACATTCTGAGCTCCACCAACAATAGAATTGAACCAAACTTGGCATACAGGACTTCCATGACTAACAGAAAATACTGGAGAGGGGGTTGGGAAAAACAGACCCTGACATTTGGGAATTGCAGTTTACCAAGCACCAAAGAGCATTCTGAACTCCACCAACAATAGAATTGAACCAAACTTGGCATACAGGACTTCCATGACTAACAGAAAATACTGGAGAGGGGGTTGGGAAAAATAGACCCTGACATTTGGGAATTGCAGTTTACCAAGCACCAAAGAACATTCTGAGCTCCACCAACAATAGAATTGAACCAAACTTGGCATATAGGACTTCCATTACCAAATACTAGAGAGGTTTGGGGGAGGCATGTACAAAAGATGACATTTGCAGTACCTTTTGACGAGGCCTCCTTGCTGCCCTGAGAGGGGTCCAGGCTCAGCTGCAGGGAAGGGAAAGCGAAAGCGAAAGAGCCTGGCTGGCTGCCTCCCTCCTGGCAGCACTCTCGCCTAGTGGGCGGGGCCTGCGCTTCTCCATTAGAAGGCTGTTGAGGGCGCATGGGGCCTCCAGGAGGAGGCGTGGCCTAAGGACAAAACAGCGCCCCCTGGCAAAAAAAGTATTTTGCGACCGCTTACTTCGAGTAATGGACGGGCCGGCCCTGCTTGCATGGTTCAAAACTGCATCGGATGTCTAAATTCATAAGTTTTTTTTTCCAAATTTCAGTCATTTCTGAACGAACCTATGCAACCCTAGCTAGCATTTTCACTTCTGCTTAAAAATCCCCCACATATATTTTGAATTATTACATAGCTCAGAAATAGCATTGATAATTAAATCTCAGATTCTGACAATTTCATCTTTTATTCATTACTTCAACATTTTCCCATTTCTCCCCTCCCCTTTCAAAGTAAAAGACTTTGAAGGAGCTGGGGGTGGCCACAACCAACAGGGAGCTCTGGTGTGGGCTGGTCCATGAAGTCACGAAGAGTCGGAAGCAACTGAATGAATAAACAACAACAAATTTGTCATATCTCATACAGCATTTTACTTTATATTTCACTCCTTTCTAATATTAACTGTACATATATACATTTGTTTCTGCATAAAATCTTTGTCTAACTGTTTCAATAAAGCTTGACAGCTTGAACATCTTCAGTCATGTGGTATATTGCAGTCTTTTTCATGTCCCCGCAGACTGGAGATAAGCTTGTATCTCTTCCCTTGGTTCATTCACGTCTCTGTTTATTAGATTTTGCATCATTATTTCCTTTCAGGTTCCAAGTCCAGTCCTTTTGTCATTCCCATTGATTTCTTTTCTCTCTATTCTTTAAAAATAATTTTTATTAAACACAGATTTAAAAAGGAAACAAAGTGTTATTTATTTACATATGTGCATATTTATGGAGCTGCTAAACTTGCTAACCGAAAGGTCACAGGTTTGAATCCGGGGAGCGGAGTGAGATCCCACTGTTAGCCCCAGTTTCTGCCAACCTAGCAGTTCAAAAACATGCAAATGTGAGCAGATCAATAGATACCACTCCAGCGGGAAGGTAACAGCGCTCCATGCAGTCATGCTGGCCACTTGACCCTGGAGGTGTCTACAGACAACGCCAGTTCTTTGGATTAGAAATGGAGATGAGCACCAACCCCCAGAGTCGGACATGACTGGACAATGTCAGGGGAAAACCTTTACCTTTTTATGTATATGTATATGTATATGTATATGTATATGTATGCCACTGAGCCCAACATATAAAGGTATAAGTGAAAGGAAAGTATCAAGAAAAAGAAAAGAAAAAAAACTAAGTAGAAAAAGGGAGCAGGGAGAGATAATAGGAAGGTTTGTTGACTTTTTTTGCTCCCCATTGATTTCCTTGGTCAAGTTCTCCTAAGACTTAAATAGCTTTCTTGCAAGAGCCTTGATTTCTTGTTTGATTTTGTGTTTAATTCAGATGTAAGTTGGGTTTTTTTGTCTTGAGTTTCAAAAACCTCAAACAATTCCATTGTTATCAATCTATTTTATCCTTAACATGTTTTCTTATATTTGACATTGTTCATATTCTTTCATGTTCATCAGAATAAAAGCCTAATAATGCTGGGAGGAGATAACACTCTTCAATCATGTATTCTAAAGGTTACTCTTGTATCTTTCTAGTATCTTTGCTTTTCTGCCTTGGCGTGGCCAATTTTTATAAAACGTATCACTACTTTAAAAAATCTGAAGGGTTTCCTCTGAAGGAAATTTTGCAAGGAGTGCCTGGACTTTCTTCTGCATTGGTGTGGGGGGGGGGGGGGGGGGGGAAACAAAGCAATCAAGTACCTTCTGGAAAAGCAGAGCATGAATCAGGGCTTTGCTTCCGCTATCCAGGCAAAGTCATCTCTTTGCTACAGATCCAGGGTTCTTCTCTTGTGCAGCTTGAACTAGCAATGGCATTATGGTTCAAATATGCACACCTTCTTCCCTTTTCCTCACAAAGCCTGAAGAACCTGAGGAGTAACAAAACTGTGTTAAGCAAAGGAATTATAGCTAGCATGCAGTCAGATGGAGAAGTCCAATAACTCCTTTTGGAACAGCAAGATGGGAAGATTGAGCCATCTTATCACCTGAGGTTGAAAAAACTCAGCCATCATTTGCCATGATCCAGAGAATTATAAGATTATAATTCACTAAAATAGTCATTTTATTCAAGCTTTTGTTGAAGTAATCCTGCTCCTGTCGTGTGATTAGGCAATAGGCATCAGCATAGAAAATGTGATTTCATTTCTTAAGACTGTTGCATTACTCCGTATGAATTGTGGGATCCCCCAGTTCTACTTGGGGAGTATTCTCACCTAACAAGGCAGCTCTGTCTGTTACAGTAACATATGAAATGTGCTCTTTATAGATTTGTTATCTATATAGTCTTATCCTGTATGCCATTTTGATTGGCTGAACCTTGCAGATCTTTTCTCTCTGGAGTTGCTCTCAGTTTGAATTGTCTGCTGTCTGAATGGCCTTGTCAATGTACTTCTGTTTAATCTCATCCTTCCATATATCCCACCTGTCATTGCTCCATTATCTCTCTTTTTATTTACTAAGTTCTATAGTATAGTTTAATTTTCATTTATCTTATTGGTAGGACTGAGTTCACTAAACACAACAAATACTGAGGACTGAACAATGTTGTGCTTAGGATTTTTGAGTGTTGGATCTAAGATTGCCTGGTTGAAAACTGCAGAAGTCTTCTTCACCTTGAATGGGTGCGTAGAAGAGTGAATTTCATGTGTTGGTTGTCATTAAGCAATACCTGCTGAAATCCTCTTTTGCACAGATACTGAAGGCACTAAAGCAGGGGTCCTCAAACTAAGGCCCGGGGGCTGGATACGGTCCTCCAAGGTCATTTACCCAGCCCTCACTCAGAGTCAACCTAAGTCTGAAACGACTTGAAAGCACAATAACAATCCTATCTCATCTCATCAGCCAAAAGCAGGCTCACACTTCCCACTGAAATACTAATGGGTTTATATTTGTTAAAATTGTTCTTCATTTTAATTATAGTTTTTAAGTATTTTTTGCACTACAAATAAGATATGTGCAGTGTGCATTGGAATTCATTCATGTTTTTTTTTTCAAATTATAATCCGGCCCTCCAACAGTTTGAGGGTCTGTTTAAAATGTTTGAGGACCCCTGCACTCAAGCCTCTCTGGTTTTCAGCCTGCCAATCCCTATTTGTACATTTGTTGCTTCATACAGAATAGAAAAAGGACTCACTCTCCTGTGAAAATGCTGCCATTGACCCATCTCCAGGGCTGACCCAAATCCTTCTGGAGACCAATCCAGTGATCAGGAGGGCTTTTGTAGCGTGAGAGAAACCCCTTAATTAAGGAAGGATGTAAACACAGATTACCAACTCCAAATTGTTTTATATCTTATATGAGAACTAGACAAAGCAAAAATAAAACTGCTTGACAAGACATTGAAAGTACCATAGCTCTTACTGGACACGTCAAGTGGGAAAATGTGAAGCTTGTGCCCCCCTGGACTCCCCACCCCAAACCCGTTATAACTTCTAAACAGACTTTAAAGAACTCCTGGGCAGTGGAACTCAGAAAATGCAAAAGTATTCCAATACCTTCATTTAGCATATGATAGTGGTATTCACTGTATCTTAGAATATACTGTTTTTATTTTATTTATTTGTCCTGTTTGATGTAAGTCATATTTATACTGGTTTCCATTCTTGGAAAAGAAGTCAAAGCTGATTATTATAGTTTAGTCCAAAAACACGCACACAATCAAATCAATTGATACAATAATTTTTACAAAATGATGTAATTAGAATGCTACTAGCAACAAATTTTCTGAGCAAGCTTTGCAATTAACATATCTCCATTTTTTAACCTACTTTCTCTTCTTGGGAATCAACCACTGCCAAAGAAGCATTGTGAGAAGAACAGTGTCTGCTGCCAACAGTCCAGTTTCCTTCAGTCAGAGAAAAATAGTAGCATTTTTTTCTATACCCGATCCAGCCATCTGGACAGGGATCAGCAAGGACAACAGGGAGAAGATCTGGACATCTTTCTTCTGATCTCACTGGCAATAAAAAGGATTTCAGAAATTAAAGTGTTAACAGAATTCATTACATTATAGCTGCTGGAACTTTAGGGGCAAAAAGATAAATTCAAGATAAATTCAATGGAGTTGAGAAAAAACATTCAAGAAGGCTCAGAAATGTGTTAAGAATTTTTTAAAAAATGAAAATAAACTGATAGATTGTACAGTATGATTGAACCAATACATTCAGTTCACTTACCTGGAAATAAAATAATAAGCAGAAGAATATACATGGTGTTGGTCATGATAATCACTACATACAAACATTTTTTATGTATGATCCATTCTCCTCTTTCATTCCTGTAGCACCAAGTGTTCTTCAGGTCAGGTCCTTAAATGTATTAAAAGAAAGGGCAATATTACACTTAAGGTGGCTCCACCATTCTTATGTATTAATTCAAGATAGAACATCAGTGAATGAGGGGAACTTCAGGAAGAGAAATTCTTCTTCAGACACCTGTTAGTTTTTGTTCCTACCTAGACTTCCTCCTATCACTTAAACTGTCCATTAACACTCCTTTTCAAACAATGACCACCCAAGTGATTCTTGAAAGAAGACAACCAGGTGACAAGGCAACAGTTTCCTCTGCTGATTCTCTGTTCCTAGCACATCTGTATTGTTGTTATGACCATTTAGAACTTGCCAAAATCTTAACCTTTAGCACAGCAGTTCTTAAAGTGTGCTTCGTGGAGCCCTTGGGGCTCCACAAAGCTTACTGAGGGGCTCTGCGCTTCCCTCCTCCTTCCTTCTCCTGCTTCTGTAATGGCATGCAGTGGCAGAATTGTTCTCCTAGGGTCATTTCCCCTCTGTCCAGACCCTTTCCCCCTTACTCTATTTCCCTCCCACCTCTCAGGAGATTCTCTCGCATGCCCTGGCCCCTTGATTGTGCTTTTGTCTTTTGATTGGTGGGGATCACTGAGCTCAGTACTGCTGTTGCTGAAGCCAGAGCCCAGCACCACTAGCACATGACCCCCAATGTTGCTGCTCCTGCCATGAAGTGGAGAATTAATAGGGAAATTGCTCAGCCCTGAGCGGTGGCAGTGGGAGGAGGAGAGAGAGGTAGTAGGCAACACATGTAGCCTGGAAGCCAGTCAAGGAAAGTGTGACAGGGCGAGTGGCGCCACCTGTGTATAGAACTGTTAGTTGCAAGATTTAAACTGTTGTATTATGCTTAATCCTGCCCCTTTTACCATGTTTATGTACAGTTGTATGGATTGGTTGCTTGTAGCTGTCAATCAGTACTGTTTGGCTCCACCTCTTCCTGCAAGAGGGGAGAACTTCCTTTTCTTTTCATTCTGCCATCAGAGGTCCTGCCATATGGACGTGAGTAAGAGACTTGTTTCTTAAAGACCCTGATTTAAGTTACCTCTTAGCACCAGTTCTGAGGTTTTTTACCCCTGGGACTCATGCTTTATGTCCAGATCGTCCTGGACAATTATTGAGGAGACCCATGCGCCTTCAAGCCGGTTCTTTTGGCACCAAGGAAGATCCTGAATCTTCAAAACATAGGCCATCTGAACTGGGGTTGTGGTTTGCTCTGGCAGTCACAGCCATTGAGGAAAGAGGAAACTTGGTGAGGCTTCTCAGCTTCAAACCCCTTGGACCCAGGACTAATTGAGACTGTAATGTATGTTTTTCCTTCACCCCTCTGAAGTTTTCCAACTCATTGCTTTGAAGAAATGACTTTGTGATAAATAAAACTTATTTTGAGCTATTTACAGCGTTTTAGGTTTTTGGGAGTTCCAGTTTCCTATAGGAGGGCAAGAAGCAATCCCCTGGGGGAAAGATGCCACGTCCATCCCTCCTTTATTGAGAATAGCCCCCAGGCGCGACGGCACAGAAAGGAAGGGGGCAGCAGAGTCAGGAGGCAGCCAGTTTAAAGTCCTAGAACAGGATAGGCTGAAAGTCGACTGGGAGAGGAGAAGGAGGCACAATTGCCAGGGGACATGGACCCTTAAAAAAAAGGACTAAAGACGCCCCTCAGAAGAAGAAAGGACTCATTGGGACACAGGGGATATCTGGGGTCTTGTGTGTGTGTGTGTGTTCAAAGCAGCCTCCAAGCCCCAAATGCCTTTGTGGAGCCATTAAGGAGGCATTCAACCCAAGGCCCCCAATAAGAGGTCAGTCAGTCTCTACGGGATAATGAACATTCCTGTCAAAAAATGTCCACATTCGAGCATCCTGACCCTCAAAATAAGCCTGGCCTCCTCTCACACTTCTTCTTCAGACAGGAAGCAATGGAGACTATTGCCATTTATTTCTGATTTGGGAGCCAGTTTTGTGGGCCTCCCATACACCCCTGCCCTCGGTTGTGCTTTTCCTGCATGCCAGAAAGGGGTTAGACTCGGTGGCCCCCCTCAATGGATTGTCACCTTGTTGTGGTGAGGGGGCTTGCATGTTCCAATGAACCTGAGGGTGTAACCACTGAAGTCATATATTCCCAAGAAGAGTCGCAGGGGAGGATCCAGACCAAGAACAATCCAAAGACCCAAAGACTTCTATGGTGGAGCAGGCAGAAAAATAACATGGTACATGTTACAATAGTTGTGAAAGTGGAAGAAGGCAGCAACAGATTGAGAAGCCACTGTCGTTGTGTTAACCATGCCACCTGCTGGGACCCTCACACCTTTAAAAAATTCATGCACAAGCATCTTCCAAGAAAAATAAAACCAAACCAACCAAAGTCCCATGGCGATCAGCAAGTGGCAATGGGGAAAATACTGTGAAATCTGGAAGCCACTAGTCACAGACTGGCATGTGGGCAGTGGATATAGATTCAGTCATTTGACCTCAAGGTCCAAGGCAGTTGAGTAGTTCGGCAGCTGTATCCATGACTGAGCAGCCCTTTTTAGTACCCACTCTGCTCACCCCAGACGGGGAAGGGGCAAGGAAAGGTGCTCTAAACATAGTCTGCCTCTCTTATCCCTGACTGGACTATCGTGTCCAGTGGGGTCACCACCCTGCAGCCTAAAAGATGAACTAAGGAATATGGAACATACAGACATGGACAACTCAGAGACCTGAATGCCCGAAATGCAGGTCCGCTATTATTGCAAGGGAGCTGGGACACTTACATTGATATAACAGCACTTCAGGAGACCTGGAAAGCAGGAGATGGACAGCTAAAGGAAGAAAAAGGAGGCTACACCTTCTTCTGGAAGGGACTGCCTGAAGAAGAACAAAGAATATATAGAGTTGGCTTTGCTATCAGAAATGACCTGGTGAAGCACCTGTCCGAAGTACCCATCTGCATTAATGACCCACTCTCAACCCTCCGAATTAACCATGCCAAAAACCAACAGACAACCATCATAAAGAGAACATTGTGTGGATTATAAAAAAGCACTATGTCCCTATACAAGAGAACATGGAAAACAGTAATGTTTTCTTTGTGAGAGTAGCTGTTATCTATATAAATAGAAATGTAACGTTTGTTTGCGCGATTAACATAACTCAAAAACCACTGGACGAACTGAAATGAAATTTGGACACAAGGGTCAATGAGTGACTATCATTCATAAAAACACTGAAAAACACAGCAGAAGAGACTGTAAAAGCAAAAAAACAAAAATTACATTACAACGCATGTGCAAAACCACACACGCACACACACATACACGCAAACACACATATACACAAATATATACACACATATATACACACACAAAACACATATACACAGACTGAGCCACAGCAACACATGGCAGGGGATGGCTCTCTCTCTCTCTCTCTCTCTCTCTCTCTCTCTCTCTCTCTCTATATATATATATATATATATATATATATAATATAGAAACATTTCTTGAGGCTCCATGAGAAACTTTTGCTTCAAAAATGACTCGGTAGCTGAAAACATTTAAGAACTCCTGCTTTAGCCCATTACTATGTCAGCAGACATGTCTCAGGAGTGGTGGAGGTAATTCTGCTTACCAAAAGCCATCCAAGTGATTTTCTAACATGTTCTCTCAACCAAGACCACCAGCCCTAGCATAAAGAAGGAATTAACTGTTCTTTAGTTAGAAAGTTGCCTTCAGTGAGGATGTCCATGGACTCAGCTCTTAACTCAGAGACAAGAAAGGAGTCTCCGGCTGAAATATCCCCTTCCCAATAGTGTGTTCTATGTAGTTAAAGTATCTGCAGGGAATTCACAGCAGGGATGGTGGATTCCCTGCCCTACAGCCCTCTCCAGACTGGATGGTTTCCCAAGGTGATATGACGGATAATAAAGGAGATTCCCTTCCCGCATCAGAGGCAGCA